TACGGAAAAAAAAAAAAAAAAAAAAAAAAAAAATAAACCCTGCAATTCCCACATAGCACATTATACATTACTTAGCACACATCTTAATAAAAAACATGTTGACAATTATGAAGATGAAGTCATCTAGGCATGTTGAAGGGATTTAAATGATAAAGTAGCTCACTGTTATCATACATATCATTAACTATACTCATCACACAGGTTCACTTGTCCCAGGAAAACATCTACAGTTCCCTCATGTTTATGTAAACCCTGACAAAGATAAAGCGTGCCTATATAAAGCATTTTATTGTTATTTATCAGAGTAAGTAAAAAAAAAAAAAAAGATGTAGTATTATTCTGAAATGTTATCCACATTATTGTCTAGTGTGCAATGGATGATTTCCCCAAACCTGCCCAATAGCACCAGAAAATGTTTGAAAGTCTGGAGTCATTCAAATGATTTTAAACAGAAGCATTATTAGTTATTGTCACTGCTGACCTTTCGTTTGCAGGGACGATAAAGCAGATTTCATTTAAATCTTTAAATTGCTGCACCTTTACAGTTCACTAAGATAATGAAGTAATGAATTGTCACACTGATCATCAAGTAGCATCCAGGAGTGTTGCTTTTAAAAAATTACTACTTCACTATTGGCCACAAATCTTGTATGAAATCACATGATAATATATTATGACAAAAGTGACAGATAAATATCTGAATCAAATAAAAAGAATATCACTGCTCAGATAACTGCACTTTGCACTGTACAAAGAAAATGCTGAACATAAGAACAGGAACACTATGATATGCAGTTTACTCAAAGTAATAAGGAAACATTGTTACCATGGCAATAAACTTCAGAGCTGGTTGATTATTGACTACTTTTAAAGTGCTTTGACTCACGAGTTCAAGTCCAAGCTAGCCCACAATAAATGGAGTGAGATTGACTGCTTCTGGCCGGCTTGGATATGAATCTATCAGATCCATTACACTCAGCGTACGCGAACCTGAGCATAGGTTTCTGCAGCATTAGGATCAGGCTGAGGGGCGGGCCTCTTCACGTGGTGCATGTGAGCATCATATGTAGGGAGGGAGGATGCTGCAGGAGCCCTGCTGTTCGCTTGAACCTGAGCATAATTTGAGGATTCACTCTGTACCCCCATCTGAACTCTCCCATCATTTCTCTTTGGGAAAAACCTGACATCTGCATAGTTCAACTCCTACAGAGGAAACAGAGAGTAGAATAAGATTATAACTGTGAAATAAAGGGAGTCTTATCGTATTTGTTTTAGACTCTTTAAGATCCAACTTTCATTCAGTTACATTGCAATAAATTAAGTATTAAACACATATATGGCTAATTTTACGAAAAACACAACCATGAGCCCGACAGTTGTATCCAGCTGTTAAGTTGGGTTTAACTCAAAGTCTGACAAGGTTCAAAGTCTGATGCTGAGCCTAAGGTACACAAGTGTTAGCTGTATGTTAGGAGGCATACTCTTTTAATCGGTCTATATAAACTATATATGGACTAATCTATAGTCCATAAGTGTGTCTCAAAACTCCAAGATTATGAATCTGTGATAATTTTTCTAGCAAAATTTATAAACATAAGAAAATAGTTGATTTGAGGAATATTGGTTTTAATTCATCTGATGTTTCTGTGAATGATTTAAGTAATGGGTTTAGGGATGAAAACATTGTTTCCTTAAACATATACTCAGGTATATGCATACTCATGTGAATTTAAAGGAATTAGCAACTTTTACCTGATTTGAGGAAGCTGCAGTTCCCTGGCCTCCTTTAACACAACAACAAATAATAATAATAACAGGAGTTAAATGTAGGGAGAAGCAATAATTCCTTTACATGTACTCAGCAGGGGTAATATTAACTTAACAAAAACTGAGAATAACACAGCATGTAAATTAAGACATGTAAATTAATTAAGTTTCACCATAAACTGATCCCAATACAACCAGTACAGTTTTAGTACAGGCTGCATTAACTGATTCATATACCATTTTATTATTGTTGTCATTATTTTTGTCTTTTAATGCTTTAATGCCACCACTCAAACACACACAGAAAGAGCTGGGGATTAAATGACCAACCTTCTGATTAGCAGATGACCCACTTTATCTGCTGAGCCACTAGCTGCCAACACACACACACACACACACACTAACCTGTTGTAGATTTCTTCAGAGGTCCTCTGTTGAGAAAGATAAAGACTTATGACTACATTACACATATAAAAATTTGCCAAATAACAATGATATAGTCAATACATATTAAGTATTAATAATAATCAATATATCAATAAACATACAGGGAGTGCAGAATTATTAGGCAAGTTGTATTTTTGAGGAATAATTTTATTATTGAACAACAACCATGTTCTCAATGAACCCAAAAAACTCATTAATATCAAAGCTGAATGTTTTTGGAAGTAGTTTTTAGTTTGTTTTTAGTTTTAGCTATTTTAGGGGGATATCTGTGTGTGCAGGTGACTATTACTGTGCATAATTATTAGGCAACTTAACAAAAAACAAATATATACCCATTTCAATTATTTATTTTTACCAGTGAAACCAATATAACATCTCCACATTCACAAATATACATTTCTGACATTCAAAAACAAAACAAAAACAAATCAGCGACCAATATAGCCACCTTTCTTTGCAAGGACACTCAAAAGCCTGCCATCCATGGATTCTGTCAGTGTTTTGATCTGTTCACCATCAACATTGCGTGCAGCAGCAACCACAGCCTCCCAGACACTGTTCAGAGAGGTGTACTGTTTTCCCTCCTTGTAAATCTCACATTTGATGATGGACCACAGGTTCTCAATGGGGTTCAGATCAGGTGAACAAGGTGGCCATGTCATTAGTTTTTCTTCTTTTATACCCTTTCTTGCCAGCCACGCTGTGGAGTACTTGGACGCGTGTGATGGAGCATTGTCCTGCATGAAAATCATGTTTTTCTTGAAGGATGCAGACTTCTTCCTGTACCACTGCTTGAAGAAGGTGTCTTCCAGAAACTGGCAGTAGGACTGGGAGTTGAGCTTGACTCCATCCTCAACCCGAAAAGGCCCCACAAGCTCATCTTTGATGATACCAGCCCAAACCAGTACTCCACCTCCACCTTGCTGGCGTCTGAGTCGGACTGGAGCTCTCTGCCCTTTACCAATCCAGCCACGGGCCCATCCATCTGGCCCATCAAGACTCACTCTCATTTCATCAGTCCATAAAACCTTAGAAAAATCAGTCTTGAGATATTTCTTGGCCCAGTCTTGACGTTTCAGCTTGTGTGTCTTGTTCAGTGGTGGTCGTCTTTCAGCCTTTCTTACCTTGGCCATGTCTCTGAGTATTGCACACCTTGTGCTTTTGGGCACTCCAGTGATGTTGCAGCTCTGAAATATGGCCAAACTGGTGGCAAGTGGCATCTTGGCAGCTGCACGCTTGACTTTTCTCAGTTCATGGGCAGTTATTTTGCGCCTTGGTTTTTCCACACGCTTCTTGCGACCCTGTTGACTATTTTGAATGAAACGCTTGATTGTTCGATGATCACGCTTCAGAAGCTTTGCAATTTTGAGACTGCTGCATCCCTCTGCAAGATATCTCACTATTTTTGACTTTTCTGAGCCTGTCAAGTCCTTCTTTTGACCCATTTTGCCAAAGGAAAGGACGTTGCCTAATAATTATGCACACCTGATATAGGGTGTTGATGTCATTAGACCACACCCCTTCTCATTACAGAGATGCACATCACCTAATATGCTTAATTGGTAGTAGGCTTTCGAGCCTATACAGCTTGGAGTAAGACAACATGCATGAAGAGGATGATGTGGACAAAATACTCATTTGCCTAATAATTCTGCACTCCCTGTATATTATCAACATTACTAGAAATTGAGATGCTGTTTGACTCTTTTTATACTTTTAGTCCCTGTTCAAAAGAAATAATAATCAGTAAGTCCAAACTATTTTTTATTTCAAGTTTTTCAAGTGTTTTACTTAACTGACATTCTTATGACAAATACTGATAAAACATATAATCAATTTTAAAATATTTTCAAATACAATTTCGGTGTCCCCATGAGAAGTAGCAATAAGACTCGTCAAATTAAAGCTGCAGTAATCATTAAAACCACACAGACAATGCACATTCAGAAAATGGTGCACTTTTAGAAAAATGTCCACCTGTTTCCAACTTACTTTTTCTTATAAAAGTAGTATCCGCCACCAACAGCTGCAGCAACAAGGACTAAACATGCAATTACTATTCCAGCGATGGCACCAGCAGATAATCCTGATGATTTTTCTGGGAATGTACAAAAAGCAATAAATATTGTTGCTTTTTAAAGTCGCTTTGGTGCGTTTCTCAGATCAGAATTGAAATTCTCATAACTATTAGTTCAACCTCCACAACACTCAGTCATTTGTGCACATCATAGTAGCAATTTCTCCTCTCTCTGAACAAACTGCAAATGATTTTGGACATGAATCAGTTGCTTCCATACATTTCCCTGCTGCTTTCTGACATTTCCATTTGCTTATGTCATGTCAGTCAAAAGTAATCATACCTATGGATGCTGAATAGTCGTTCCCAATAAAACTAATAGTCATACATCCATTGCTTAAGTCATCACACACAAAATTGTTGAACTAGTTATCACATGCCAAATATTGGCCATCTGTCAAGCAAATCCTATACCTTTCTGTATCATTGTTCCTGGAAATGTCTCCGAAATTGAACAATTGATCTCAGGTGAATTACAGCTGTCACTCATGAGGAGGCGTGTGAAAGTTTAGTTGTAACCAATGACAAACAACTTGTTCACTGTCAATTATGGATGAATCCTGTGAATCCCCAATTGGCAAGCATATATAAACTGCGCAGGAGCTAGTGTGTACCATTTCTACACTTCTGTGACACAAAATGGAAGGTCAGCACCGTGGAAGAGGGGTGAGGATGCGGGGAGGAAGGGGAAGGGGAAGAGGGAGAAGAGGCAGATATAGGCGGATTCCTAATGAAATAAGGGCTACAATTGTGGACCATGTTGTCAATCACGGCCTCACCATGGAGGAGGCTGGTCGAAGGGTGCAACCCAATATTGGAAGAACTACTGTCAGTTCAATCATTCAAACATTCCGTAGGGAAAACAGGTATGCAAACAGTAATACACTGTACTGTACTGTGCCATCTCAGACACATCACATGTTACTGTACTGTATTTGCAATTTCACAAAAAGTTCACCTACCACAGCAAGAAGAAGCCATTTGTGCAATGGTCATTGCAAACAATGCAATAAAGCTGAGAGAAATACAAAGCGCTGTCATAGAGAATTACACGGTATTTGGCAATATTGAATCTGTTTCAATTTCAACAATTGACAGAGTACTCAAGAAAAATGAAATCCACATGAAGCAATTGTATAAAGTGCCATTTGAACGAAACAGTGACAGGGTGAAGGAGATCCGTCACCAGTATGTGCAGGTAAAGCTGGTCTTCTATGTTCTGCACTGCAAACTGTTTTACAGTACTTCGTAGTTTCATGCAGTACACTTGCAATTCCACAGCACATACTCTACAATGTGTTTTACCAAATGCATGCATTACTGTTTGTTACTGTACACAGGCATATTGTGACATTGCATTTCTGTCTCTCTCTAAAGCGTGTACTGGAGCTGGAAGCCAGGGAAACACTGCACACATTCATATATGTTGATGAGGCAGGTTTCAATCTGGCCAAAGGCAGAAGGCGTGGAAGAAATCGCATTGGACAGAGGGCAACCACTGAAGTCCCTGGTCAGCGCGGAGGGAATATTACCATGTGTGCAGCCATCTCAGACAACGGCGTCCTCACCCATATCCCCCTTCTTGGTCCATACAATACCCAACATCTCCTGACATTTTTAGACACTCTTTACAGGGACCTAGTCCCTGAGAATGAGAGAGGTGGAGGCCAACTCAGCAAGTATGTTGTTGTCTGGGATAATGTCCGTTTTCACCACTCCCATCAGGTCAGAGAGTGGTTTGCAGCACATGACAGAATTCTGGTTGAATATCTCCCTCCATATTCCCCATTCCTTAATCCAATAGAGGAGTTTTTCTCTGCCTGGAGGTGGAAAGTTTATGACCGGCATCCACATGAGCAAATGGCCCTGCTAGCAGCCATGGATGCAGCATGTGACGACATCACAGCAGGGTCCTGCAGAGGATGGATTCGCCACTCCAGGAGATACTTTCCTCGCTGCATTGCGAGGGATAACATCTGTTGTGATGTAGATGAAAATATGTGGCCAGACAGACAGGAACGTCTGGATGTGCCAGAATGATTTACTGTACTGTTACATGTGCTGTTTATTGTTCACATTAGTGCACAGCTCTACCAAATGGGTGATTTTATGTTTACATGTATTCTACAGTGAACAAGTGACTGTAGCATATTTTTCTTTTGCACAATTCTGTAGGATTACAAACACTTCTACACAATGGAAATGTGAAACGTACGTATTCAGTGTCTCAGTTACTCCCAAGACTCCCATAACATCTACAGTGACTTTACTGCACATTTCAGATGGCTGTACAGGTAGGCCATAGTGCTGTCGTCAGCATTTTCAGGTGTCACCAATTGTTTTTGCAATGGGAAACACTGAAATTATAAACTGTCATAGTGGAAACATGACAATGCCATTTGACTATCTTGTTCATAAAGATGGTGTCAAGACTTTTCATTTTGATGGCACTGACAGTTTCATTGACATGGATACTTGCTTTTGAGGTATGGATAATCAATTCTGTGCATGTGACGTGCTTTTGCAGGCTATCCACTAGGTTTTGCAGTTTGCACTAATTGTTTTGGGAAATGCACTAACTGCTGTGCAAATGTTAATGGTGTTCTGAGGAACGCACCAAAGCGACTGAGAAAAACTGTAAATGGAATTTATTATATCAATAAACATAAAAGTAAAGGATTCAAAAGAGCTCTATCACATCTCATCTTTACAAAACCTGGAAACTTACTCAGTGACAAAAATATAATAGCAAACTATAACACTTCACACCACATCAGAGTCATTTAGATAGATAGATAGATAGATAGATAGATAGATAGATAGATAGATAGATAGATAGATAGATTCTGTAATTAAAAACACTGTTGTCTCATGAGCTTGAAATGAATCTTAACCTTTTTAGATGAAAGATTAATTATTAATTCATCTTAATCTTGTTAGTATCAAAGATCTCTAAGAAAATGTTAGGAAGCCTATTAGGGGCATGACAGTTAAAGCTATCTAAAAAATCCAAGAGAATCAATACATGCAGATACCTGTTACAGTCAGTCCATGCACAGCTGATGATGATGTTTTCTTAGTTATATTATTCCAGGCTTGACAGGTGTAGTTTCCACTGTCAGAAAGTTCAACCTCTTCTTTAATGTACTCAGCTGAATTGGTGAGTTTCTCTGTCCCATTTAAGAACCAGGTGAATCTGGCAGTTGGTGTGGATTCAGCAGAGCAGGTCAGTTTTAAGGTGCCTTTGATATTTATCTTATTTGGACCTTTGATTTGAACATTTTCTGGTCCATCTGAAAAACAGGTAAAAAAACAAAATCTATGTGTTCATTACTTTTAAATTTCTGCATTACTAGACTACATATCATATTAGTTGTACCATTCAAAGTTTGAAATTTTTTTACTGTATGAATGAACAAGAAGTGTAGACTGACCAGGATGTTACTTACAATTAACAGTCATATTGTATTTAGCTTCATCACTGCTGATGGGGTTGCTGATCTGGCAGAAATATTCTCCATTGTCTTTCCTCTTCACAGTGTCAAAGGTCAACACTCTGTTATTGTCAGAAAGGATCATGTTGTCAGTCGGGGTCAGTTCGGAGCCATCCTTCATCCAGTTCCTTGTAAAGACTGAGCCAGAAGCCTCACAGGTTAAACTGACAGATGTTCCCTCAACTGGCAGGTTTATTGATGGTTTGACAGAAGAACCTGATATTTCCTCTGTTTGACAAAAAAATAATAATTAAGAACAAAAATAATAAGATAACAAGAACAAAAGTAGATGATCATTTGAATACCAAATTTATACACTAAAATCAGTGATGGTGAAATAGAAGAACAACTGAAAAATCTAAATAATGAGATTAAAAACACCAAAGAAAACCACAGAGATGAGGAGAACTCTTGAGATATGGTATGGTAATAATGAATAAGAATAATGTGCAGGATAGTGATCAACACTAAATTAGAGTTATATAATCTAATACTAAAAATATTTATTACTGTTTGACATTTTCATACAACTTCACCTTCAAGGTCAAGGCATCTAATATTCAATTTAAATGTGCCGGACACTTTTAATTTGGCTATTTTCTCCAATACCAATTTAATACTAAGTGATACCAGACACTTTTTTTACCCTATTTAAATATAACTGATGTTTTGTGAGCAGATGACGAGGACAATGACAAAGAGAGAGAGAGAGACTTTTTATTTATGTCTTTTTGTGGTGCCAAGGATACTACTTCTATAAGAAGGTTTATGAAGATGTGGAGTTGGAGGCAGGGGTGGTAAGATTGTAACATGAATACAGTAAAGTCCACTCTCAGCCCTGTGGGTGGTTTTATATTCTTCAAGCTTGGGTCCTCTATCAGAGGCCTGGTAGCTTGAGGCTCCTGCGTAGTATCGATGCTGTTCCTAGGTCTGTGATCTTCTGGATAGAGATCTTGGATGTTTTCCCTGCGATTGCCTTGACACACTCGCCCAGTTTAAGGGTCGCTGCCCCGAGTCCTCCGATTACCACTGAGACAACTGTTGCCTTCCCCCTTCACACCTTCTCTAACTCCTCTATTAGCCCGTATTTCTCAAGCTTCACATGTTCCTTCATCCTGATTTTGCTATCACTTGGAATTGCTACATCTATCACTACGGCTGTCTTCCTCTACGTGTCCACCACTTGTCTGTCCAGTTGGTTAGCCATCACCTGTTCATCTGTATCTGAAAGTTCCACAGGATCTTTGCTTGGTTATTCTCAAATATCCTAAGGATCCCAATTTGGCCTCAGGATTTTGAGATTATACTCAGCACAGATGTTCCTGTATACTATGCCGAACACTTATAACTTTTCATGTCTGCCCTGCCTGCTAGCATCTACCTTAAGTTTTTTTTCAACTTCACAAGAAATTGAATTAAAATAAAAATCATCACAGTCAAAGTGCACGTGAAAAAGTGCATAATAACTTTTTCATTACATTTTCGTTGTGTTAAAGGGTGATTTGTTGTAAATCCTTCACTCTGACTGAGTTTCTTTTTTCTATCAGCCCCATTTGTTTTCTGCGTGAGAAAATATGTCAAAAGCCTGTAGTATATGAGGAAACCATTTTATTTGAAAATTGTTTTTCTGTATTGTTTATCTCCACAAATATTTTTATATGTGTGAAATTATTATCTGAATATAGCTCTAGTCAAAAATATATACATGAATCACACACATTAACAATAAATCAAACCTACCCAGCACAGTGATGGCTGAAGACTCAGACGTTTGAGATCTCAGAGTTTTGTTGTTAAAGGCCTGACAGCTGTAGTTTCCACTGTTACTCATGTTAACGTTCATCAGTCTGAGCTCTTCAGTATCAGACAGCTGATCTCCATTCAGAAACCACTTAAACTGAGCAGGAGGTCTGGATCCAACCGAGCAGGTGAGGCTGATGTCTGACCCCTCAGCAAAGTATCCTTGTGGTGGAGATAACATCAAATTGATATTTTCTGGGCCATCTAAATGTAGAGGGACATAGAAAAGTTAAAGTTAACTGTATGAAACATTTAAAGGTATACAGCAGGGATTTCAATGTTTTTTATATTGTGGGCCACATACAGTCTACTTTGCTTTTAGGTAGGTCAAACCAGTGAAACTCCAATGTCAGCCAGTGTAGAGAAGTTTACTTACACAATTTATCAATGAGCTGTCGTAGTATAAGACAAAGAAGAGCTTTTTCAACAGCATGTCTAAGATTTTTCACATGATAAAGACATGAAGCGTAATACATTAAAGACGTCTGTCAGCTTGACTCTGGGTTTAAAATGTAAGACATAATGTGTAAAATTACAGAAATCTGTAATTTAATTACTTTGGTGTATTGTGAAAGCCCTTGAAGGAGTTCTTTAATAAAAAGGTGTAAACCCTAAAAAGAATAACAGTTAATAGTCCAAAATTTCTGTCCTCTTTCACCTTTTCCAAAACCATCCAATGGGCCGGATGGGAATCTTTGTCAGGCTGATTCTGGCCCACAGGCCTCTGTATGACAACCCCAACCCTGGTATATACCATTCAGTTTGGCTTATTGTGAAACTGTGACATTATTAGCCAGATCATTCCACATTATATCACAATAAAAAAAAAAATCTACTTACTCTGTAATGTATGAAAACAAAACCATCTAAATGAAACTAACTGCACTGTGAATTAGGTGATTTAAACTGTAATTTAAATCACCTAATAATTAAAAAAACAAAAACAAATCACAGTAACTCACAGCTGATGGAGAGGTTTACTGGATCACTGGTAACAGTACTGACAGGATTGGACACACGACACCTGAATGGTCCCTGGTCAAAGCGGGTCACATTGATTATAGTCAGACTGGAGCCTCCATCAGTGAGCTGAACTCTGTCACTTGCTGTAACCTCAGAGCTGCCGTTCAACCAGAGGAAAGAGAGAGAGGATCCAGAGGCAGAGCAGGACAGAGAGACAGAAGCACTGAACTCAACCAAGTCTGTGCTGCTGGAAGTTACCAACACATTGGAGACTTTCACTGTGAAAGAAAAACCACAAAATAGTTTTATTGTTGGCATCAACAATAGAAAATAAGCAGTAAAATGACAAAAAATCCAATTCCAGCTAAACCTAAAATAGAAACAATATATTTATAAATAAACCTTAAAAGAAATACTGTACCAACCACAACCTTCAAATACTTAAATTCACATAACTGACAATATCAACTCCTTTTAAGTGACTATTCTGAACAGAATAAATTAGATTAATTGAGTTCTCAGCTCGTTTTTTATAGTACGGGGGTCAATACTACCTTATAAAATAAATAAGCCATTCAGTTTCTTACAGCCACTTTTTAAAAGTCTTTGTTATCACAGTCTTAAGAAATAGATGAATTATTGCAAGAATGCATTATTGCAGAGTAGAGATGTTACATAAACGTACTAATCATTACAGGTATTTTTACATGTTCAATATATTGTAAACTTGTTTAAATATTGCAAAAACAGTTAAGCTGTTGAATTTCTACATCTGCTCACCGTATATCAACAGAGTAGTACGACCCTGCTGGGCTTTTCCATCTTGTATAATGTTAACAGTGTAATCTCCAGTGTCATCCAGAGTGAGACTCCTGAGCTCCACAGACGCAGTAGATGGGAAGAAGGTGATCCTGCCTTCATACTCAGGTGCAATAGTTTCTTCTGAGTTAATCATGGTTATTATAGTTGTAGAGAAATTAACATTCCAGTTCACAGATTGAAACGGTTTCTCTGTTGGAGACAGTGTTGTAGTGAACATCACAGTTTCTCCTACAGCTGCATTCAGAGGACCATCAGGCAACAAACCATCTCCTTCAGTGAAACCTGCGGGAGAAGAATAGCAAAGTGCTGTTGTTACTCAAACATAAGTCTAATGTCTGCTTTTCCAGATAATACTGCACATAATTCTGGTCGACTTTCAGGAATCGCTCAATAATCGCGTGGTTATTAAAACTGTTAACCAGCTGTTGCTTCCGGTGACTTGTTGCTATTCTAAGCCCTTGGCGAACAACCGAAGAAAAATCTGACTTTTTGCAAAGAGACCACAAGTTATACTGAACATCTTAATTTTGAGACTTACTTGCAAATGCCACAAAAACAAGAAGCTGTTGTAACAAAGCCATTAATTAAATATCCGTGAACTGTGCAGTTAGTAATGTTTTACTATCAAAGTGACCAAAAATCTACTGACTCAGTATGGTGAATGAAACTCTACTTAACAAGATGCAGTGTCAGTTTCATGCACCAGAAAACTTGCAGGATGCCTCCCTCATGTGGTGCAACTGTGTTAGTGCAAGATGTAAAACTTAAAATGTTGCTTTGAAGATGTTGATGTCCAATCACAGGATGTTTTTCCGATTATCCCACACAGTTTAATTGATCAATAGAAAACAAATCACTATGCAGTAATATATTCCTCACTGCATGCCACAGTCCTAGTCATTTGTTTAGTTAAAAATACTCAGAAAGATACTGAGAACATTTTATAACCATCCAAAATGACCTAAAACTATCAACAGAATGCAGCCAATGTTGGAACAATTCATTTATGTTGCTTTCAAAACTAAAAGTCAAACTCTGAGCCAAAATCTTGATAGGTTTTTGTGAGTATTTAAAATTCTGAGTAAGACGATGAAGCAAGGCAAAATAGTGTCTAGCATGCCCTGAGGCCAACATTAGAGGAAGAATAAATTTCTATTTCATAAAACAGAATCATTTATTTTCCTTTTAAGGTAGAGAGTTTCAGGGCAGGCATAACCAAAACAAAATACACAATACAGGCCTTTTAAATGCCTCCCTAGACTAAACAGGAAACCAGGTCTGTTCTCTTCAAAATGATCATTTGCAATATTTACAATATGTACAAATTAATTAATCTTGTTTTTTTTTTAGTGCAGAAAATTGGTCACACAACAACACACAGCTAAACACACAAAGCCTTGTTAGAAGCTGGAAGTACATATAGCCAGGGCATAGCTGATCTGGACGAGTCCCAATTAATAGCCAGCCCCATTCAGTCTCCCAAACCAATGGTCAACTTCCACCTGGAACTTACATAAGCAAAAAAAACAGTGGAGAAAATGAATAACAGCACCCCCTCAATACACAAAATTATGACTTGGATCATAACGACTATCCGACAGAGTCACAGAGCTTGTTCCTGTCCCACCTGTCCCAGGGTAAGAGGCTCAATACTGTAATAATCCAAGTTGTGATATGTCAGAAAACCAAAAACAAGACACCATCACAGAAGGCAAGATCAGAAACTTTATTTCACAACTTACACTCAAAATGGAGATTTCAAACAAAGATTGAGAGGACGTGACCTACAGTACAGTTCCCAGAAGACAACGTGCACTACAAACCAACCACATGCAAATTGCTCACACTGCACACAGTGAAAACAATTCCTTAAAACCCCAAAAATGAGTCACGATAATGCCACCACATCGTAAATCTTGATTGGCCATATACCGGAAACCCCTTTTTGGCATAACCAAATACCAGTCGTTCCTGTCTTGAATTCTATCACTGCTGTGATGGGTCATTGGAGCCTAATTGCCAAAATAGATCAATTAATTTCTCTCTGACAATAAATCATGTTAAATTCTTCCAAGTGACACATCCTGTAACTAGCTGTTACAGTACAGAAGGAAAGCTTAATGTGACTGAACAGAATCTGACACAAACATTTAGTAGAAGGTTTTATTAATGATTAACAAGTTCATGAAGTTTAACTTTTCAGAATAACAACATTACTTCCTTATGACACCATATATTGAATGAACATTCATGTACCGGTATCAGCAAAGGAAAAGACAAAGAGTTAAGGACTGCTTTAGAAATGGAAACATTTTCTGATGTACTTGTGATATACTTCTTCATTTTTGGGTCCATCACAGGTGAGCTCTCACTGCTTGATGTGGCAGAAAAAACTGTCTGCTCACACTGACTTTAAAGTTTTACTTTGTTTATTGTTTCTTTGTTTTTCACTTTATGAGACATCTGTTGAATACTTCTAGTTTATGTTTAATCATAATGTGACCTTAATATTATAAACAGAAATAAATTTTTCTGCTCAGATAACATGGATCAGAGAAGAAGCAGGTTTGTACAAAAGTATTTTAAATGAGAGTAGGAGAGCAGTGCCATGATCCTTATAATTCTCTCAGGGCTTCTATAGGAATGCTTAGTTTTCCTCGTCCTTTGTGTTGTTGTTCATTGGTCGTTAATTGTTCATCGTGCGACTTTAACTCTTCTTACTTCTCTGATTTGTTCTTCATGAATATAGAGAGAGAAGAGTGGAAACAAAAGACATTTAAAAGAAAGTTGAGTGCTTCCTTCTGAATGTCAGTTTAAATCTATTCCAATTAAACCCCATAGTTCTTGTCTCCTTTCTCCTCCGGATGCAGGACTTGGGACACATTTCTCAAGACTGATTTCAGATGTAGGACAGAGGAGACAGGAGAAATATGGGAAGCCTTTGATCAGGTTGCTTCAGTTGGCTCCCCTGTTGGCTACCCGTTTCTGAATTATGATGTACATGAATCTGTCAGTGTCAGTTTTGTTTCTTGAATTAACCTGCTGTGTGTGCTTCTTTTTCTTTTCTTTTTTTCCCAATAAAACCTCTAATGAAAATAACGTGACCTTTTCAGACTTGCTTTATTTTCTACAGATTAATTTAACTTTTTGAGATTTTTTATATATGTGACTGGACATCTGGACGTCTTTATAGCAACATTTCAAGTTTTACATCTTCCACTAACACAGTTGCACCACTTGAGGAAGGCATCCTGCAAGTTTTCTGGTGCATGAAACTGACACTGCATTTTGTTAAGTAGAGCTTCATTCACCATACTGAGTCAGTAGATTTTTGGTCAGTTTGATAGTTGAACATTCCTAACTACACACTTCAAGGATATTTAATTAATGGCTTTGTTACAACAGCTTCTTGTTGTTTTTGTGGCATTTGCAAGTAAATCTCAAAATTAAGATGTTCAGTATAACTTGTGGTCTCTTTACAAAAAGTCAGATTTTCCTTC